ACAAAAAATTATTTAACCGCACATTTAGTTAAGTGATTGAGTTAATTTGTTGCACTGCAATAAATTGAATTATCTAGTTGGAGCAATAATTCAACAAAATGATGTTAACTTAAAAAAATCTTGCTAAAAATCGTTTTTTATTTAAAAAAATTTAACGTTTACTCAAAAATCTGGTAGCCATCATGTGAAACACTAAGTCAATGACTCTTAGTAATCTTAAAAACATTAATTTTATTTATTTGCTGCTTACTGCTAAATTTGTCGCTGAAACTCATTTTTTAAGATAATTTATCAAAAGAGTAGTACTACAAACTGACCAAGCAGCATGAAAGTGACAACTATAAAAAAAGTATTTGTAGTAGTATCTGCGCTCCCCAAGTTAATTATCAAGTGTCAAAAACCTTTGGTTTTTATTTGAAATCACAAATCATGTAGTGAGAAAATAAACTAAAGTTCACACACTAAATACATTGCAATTTGTATCTAGCACTTTTTCGCTAAACTAAACACCAGTTCATAAACACTATGTAATGTTTACCAGCAATGAACCTCATTTTATGTTGTTTTTAGCAGTGTTAACATGTTTTAATCATCACAAAATTTGCAGTCACTACACATCATGACTTATAGAGCTGAACAAGCTAAAATGTTTGAAGTTTCTGCAAATTTTTGTTTAGTTGTATACAATTGATAATATTTTATATAACACTCAAGGCATTTGAACGTTTCCTTGCACTTTCTAACACAACAAACTGTTCCTTTAACAAAGATTTTTTTTAATTTTTGTCACCACCAGTAACGTTCTTTGAATAGCCTGTAGCTGAAATGATGAAGCGATAAAGTAGGCAAGCACTTTTCAAAGTAAACTTTAAAAGAAGATTATCTGGTTAAAAGCAGTTTGAAGCAATCCGGTTTTACTGATACTCTCAATAAGAAAGTACACTGATCAAGAATATTAATACAAATCTGATTAGTTCACATGTTCGGTGAATGACTTAAAAAATATANCTCCTTTGGCAAAGATTTTTTTTAATTTTTGTCACCACCAGTAACGTTCTTTGAATAGCCTGTAGCTGAAATGATGAAGCGATAAAGTAGGCAAGCACTTTTCAAAGTAAACTTTAAAAGAAGATTATCTGGTTAAAAGCAGTTTGAAGCAATCCGGTTTTACTGATACTCTCAATAAGAAAGTACACTGATCAAGAATATTAATACAAATCTGATTAGTTCACATGTTCGGTGAATGACTTAAAAAATATAGTTTTTATTTCATTAAAAAAATTGTAGTTTTTAAATCCAAAACTTGAGTTTTTATAGTAATGAACAGGTCGTCCGATTGAGTAAACAAGTTTTTATTCGGTTTTTCTCCATTTTTCAGTGGATTGATTTAAAATGTAGTTTTTTTATTTGACTGATGTTTTCAAATGATAATAAATAGTAAAACTTGATTTTTGTTGTGACCACTCTTCATCAAACTAGCGGCGCATCATTTAGACAGCAAAGTAAAGCAAAGAAAAATGACACATCAGCGAAGCCTGCTGATCTAACGCGCTGATGTTGCTGGGACACAACAGTTCACTTTCAGACGCTTTTTGACCCAAGAAGTGCTATCACTAAGCCCTGTAGCAGTGGTGCGTTTGCAGCTACGCAACCACCTTTGAAGGGCCTCCACTTTTAATCACACACATTTCTCGTCTTTGCAAAAATTTTCGCACTGGACCGCAGACTTCTGCACTTCTATGCATTTCTCCACGAACGCTATCCACCAACAAAAGAAGCAACTGGTGGCACAACACTGTAGACTTTGATCTTCGGCAAATCGACGTAAGTTGGAATGTGTGTGTTTGTGTTGAAGTGAACTGAATTACACTTGAACTGAATCACAACATGTCGAAAAGACAGCACAAGCAAACATCGAAATTGAATGTCTCTTGATAAAAGCGCACCGCTGCGAAGGGTGATAAACTGCCACGCTATAGCTTTGTATAGCTTTGTCAGTAGCGCAAGTTTGGCTTGTAATGTTGTATTTATGATGCACCGATAACGGTGTGCAGCACACAGTGTTACCAACGATAACACGCACACTTTGTACTGAGGCACTGAAGCGGCAGCGGCATTAGCGGGAGAGAGAAAGAAAGGGAGAGAGAATTCGTCACTTCACTTCAACTCACTTTCATTATCACTTTCTTCACTATCGCCTGGTTTTTTGGTCTTCACCTTCCGCTATTACCATTATCCTTTTAAGGTATAAAAAGGTCTCCAAGCCGAGGCGAATACTTTCGAGTGCGTCTTGAGACTTGAGAAGAGCAGAAAAGCAGAGAAGCAGCGGGTGAAAACCTCCCCAACTCCCCAGCTTCTACATTAGCGTCTCCTAATGGCCAGCCGAATTCTGACAATTTGCCGAGCACTGCAGCAGCCGCTGTCAGCGAGCAGCATCGCTTCGGTGGCGGGCAAATCGCGACCATTAACTCGTCTGCTTCGACTGCAGTCATTCCACAACAACGGCCGAAAGGGCTCCATTTCTGCGCTGCACCGAGCCATCACCAACCACCACTCGAATCACCATGAGGCGATTAGCCAGACGAACCCTAAGCTCAAGTCATTTGCAACTCGATCCGAGCTCAATCAGGCGCAGCGAATCGTCGTCAAGTTGGGCTCGGCCGTCATCACCCGAGAGGACGAGTGCGGAGTGGCGCTCGGCAGACTGGCGTCCATCGTCGAGCAGACCTCCACTCTGCACATGGAGGGCAGAGACGTGCTGATGGTGACCAGCGGGGCGGTGGCCTTTGGCAAGCAGAAACTCAGCTCGGAGTTGCGTCTGTCGATGTCGATGCGCGAGACGCTGGCGCACTCCAATGGCGTCAGAGAGGCACAGGGCAAGGCGCTGATGGAGCCCCGAGCCGCGGCCGCCGTCGGCCAGTCAGGCCTGATGGCGCTGTACGAGGCAATGTTCTCCCAGTACGGCATCAGCATCGCTCAGGTGCTCGTCAACAAGACCGACTTTGCCAATCCCATCTCTCGACACAACCTCGGCTCGACGCTCTTTGAGTTGCTCCGTCTAAACATCATTCCAATTGTAAGTGATAAGTTGCTGCTCTTTTATGAACTGATAAATAACTTTTGCTCTATTTCAGGTGAACACCAATGACGCCGTTCTGTCGCCGGCACTGCCCAACCTGGACCTAGATGGGGTCATCTCCATTCAGGACAACGACTCACTGGCGGCTCAGCTGGCCGTGGAGGTGGGCGCCGATGCGCTTTTCCTCATGTCCGACGTGAACGGCATCTACACGAAGCCGCCCACTCAGGATGGCGCCAAGTTGCTGCACACCTACGACCCAAAGAGCCACGAGTCGATCACTTTTGGGCAAAAATCTCGCGTCGGCCTGGGCGGCATGGAGAGCAAGGTGGCCTCCGCCACCTGGGCACTCGACCGCGGCGTCTCGGTGGTCATTTGCAATGGCATGGACGATGACGCCATCAGCAACATCGTCGCCGGCAAACGGGTGGGAACGTTCTTCACGCAAGTTGAGGAGCGTTCAGTCTCTGCGCAAACCATGGCTCAAAATGGTACGGCACTGTTTTTTTTCTTTATTCATTCATTGCCCGATCTCATTCACAGGTTAAATTAGTTTCATTCTAATTAATTCTAATTAAGAGACGCTAGTTGTAGGGGATGATTAGTTAGCTGGCTTAGCTGAATTTATGGGATCAAAATATTGGCATAAATCAATTATTAATTAAAGTTAGAGTTAGGAAATTCAGAATATTCTTTTTTAAGAAATTAGATTTTTTGCTAAAACTTAAGTTTAAAGAATGTAGTAAATCAATTAAAATTAAATTTGGGGCAAATCAAAAGTAGGGCGCTGGAGCTAAAAATAACAACATGGAAGAATGTTTTCTTTGGCAATAGTCAATCAATGACAAACAAAAACAGCTAATTATCTTCTGACTGCGCATTTTGAATCAATTTAATGCCAACTTGTTTATCGTTTCAGCTCGAAACTCCAGTCGCAACCTTGTGGCACTCAATGGTTCTCAACGTGGCGCCATCATTCACAAGTTGGCCAATTTACTTGAAGAACGTGTCGAGTTTATTTTGGAAGCGAACCAAACCGATCTGGCCAAAGCAAGTGCATCAGGTAAGTGATTGACAATTTACAGTTTAATAGTGCTAGTTTATGTTTGTTACAACATATTACATTTAGTTTCTAAAATTCCTAAAATACCAACAACAACTTCTTACTTGGTTTGAAATTAACTATTTTGGCCAAGTTTTTCATTATGTTTAAGATAATGAAAGTCGCTTTGAGAATTCTTGACCATTTAGTTGTACAATCTCGGTTTATCGATTTGTAATTAACTCAGAGCAGCAATAATTTGTCTTTCGCATCACTTGAACCAAATAATAATTCAACCGAATCATTACGTTGACAAAACAAAATCACAGCTATTGTCACATATTAATAAGTTTTGTTGCACTATACTTTTGCCGATATATCAAAAAGAAAGAAAAGTTCTAGTAAAAATCTTGTTTCAAGAAAAACAAGAAATTTCATTAGTAAAAATAAATGTTATTGTGAGTTCTTTTTACCCTTTTTAAAGTTCATTTATCCTGGTATTTGATATAAAAACAATTATTTTTTAAATTAGATTCAACTTAAAATTCAGATTTAAAATATATTTTAAGTTTTATTTTTTAAAATTTGNGAATTTCATTAGTAAAAATAAATGTTATTGTGAGTTTTTTTACCCTTTTTAAAGTTCATTTATCCTGGTATTTGATAAAAAAACAATTATTTTTTAAATTAGATTCAACTTAAAATTCAGATTTAAAATATATTTTAAGTTTTATTTTTTAAAATTTGTAAACATTACCAAAGTGTTAATGTGAAAAGCTTTACAGAAAGTTGAAACCCCAACTGTAAATCTAACCATATTTTTCCTTTGCTAGTCGTAATTATAAGCGTATTTATCTGACCAAACTGAACAGTAAGACAGTAATGAAATTTCTTTTTAACTTGGATAAAATAGAATTGCCCAACTGGCAATATTGCGTGTAATTAGGACAGTTCATAAGCGGGCTCAACTTAAATGGCAGTTAGGCTGCTTTTCATTGAAGGCACAAGTCATTTAAAATAATATGTCGCTAATTGCCTTTGCCTGCTGCGTTTTGGTAATTTGGGTAATAATTCTTAGATTGCCCGAAAAGAGAAGCAAGATTTGCCAGTTTTTTATAGTTATGAATTTAAAATTGCCCATGCCATCAGCAATAGCTGAAGCATTACACACACACACACACACACAGAATTCTAATAGTTGTTCCTCTTTTTCTCCCGTTCATCCACCATCAAGNCTAATATGTCGCTAATTGCCTTTGCCTGCTGCGTTTTTGGTAATTTGGGTAATAATTCTTAGATTGCCCGAAAAGAGAAGCAAGATTTGCCAGTTCTTTATAGTTATGAATTTAAAATTGCCCATGCCATCAGCAATAGCTGAAGCATTACACACACACACACAGAATTCTAATAGTTGTTCCTCTTTTTCTCCCGTTCATCCACCATCAAGGCACCTCAAAAGTTCTCATCGATCGCCTGGCGCTGACTCACGGCAAACTAAAGGCTCTCTCTGCGGGTCTCCGTCAGATAGCCGACTCATCAGACCATGTCCTGGGACGCATTGTTCGCCGAACGCAGATATCCGACGATCTGGAGCTGCGGCAGATCACCGTTCCCCTAGGTGTGCTCATGGTCATCTTCGAGTCCCGACCTGACTGTCTGCCCCAGATTGCCGCCCTCTCCATTGCCACTGGAAACGGCCTCCTGGCCAAGGGCGGTAAGGAGGCACAGGAGACGAACAAAAAGCTCAATGAGCTCATTCAGGAGGCGCTGGAATCAGTGGCACCAGGCACCAAGAATGCAGTCGCACTGGTGAACAATCGCGAGGATGTGAGCGAGCTGGTGCAACTCGAGGGCGACATTGACCTGATTATTCCGCGGGGCTCCAATGAACTGGTTCGAGCCATTCAAGAACAGTCCAAATCAATTCCCGTCCTAGGGCACAGCGAGGGAATATGCCATGTGTACGTCGACAAAGAGGCAGAGTTTGAAAAGGCCATCAAAATTGGTAAGCGATTCAGTGGAAAATTGTTTCAATTCTAACCGATTCACTCTTTTTGTCAGTGCAAGACTCCAAATGCGACTATCCGTCGGCGTGCAACGCTCTGGAGACGCTGCTCATCCACCGGTCGCTGGTGGAAATCGGCTCCGATGCTGGCGCCAACAACAAGGGTTTCTTTGTGCGCCTTTGCAATGAGCTGAAGAAGGAAAACGTCAAACTGTTCTCCGGGCCGAGGCTGAATCAGCTGCTCACTTTCGGTCCACCTCCTGCAAAGAGTATGAAAATTGAGTACGGCGAACTGGCGTGCACAATTGAGATTGTGGACAGTCTGGGCGATGCCATTGAGCACATCAACACGCACGGATCAAGTCACACTGATGTCATTGTCACTGAGAATGGTATTACCACATGAACTGTCTGTTTTTACTGTCCTGTTCTATTTTACTAACTAGCATTCCCCTTTAAAGAATCTCGAGCGGATGAGTTCATGCAGTCCGTGGACAGTGCCTGCGTCTTCCACAATGCCTCCACTCGCTTCTCCGATGGCTACCGCTTCGGCCTGGGCGCCGAGGTGGGCATCTCCACGGGGCGCATTCACGCCCGTGGCCCAGTGGGCATCGAAGGCCTGCTCACCACCAAGTGGCAGCTCTTCGGCAACGGTCAGACGGTGCAGGACTTCAGCAAGGGCATCCTCAAGTACAAGCACCTCTCGCTGCCCATTCCCAGCCACTGCGCTGCCCCCGGCTCGGAGAGTGAGAGCGAACTGCAGCTGAACAAGGGCGAACTGTGACTCGCTCACCAGCAGAAGGCATCACTATTCACCAGGCTGGCTGACGAACTCCTCTCCGCCTTAATTCCTCTAAATTCCTCACTTTTGCATTCACCACATCCGCTCATCGACATTAGAGGAAAATATCTGAAAATGTTGAAAAAGTAAAGCTTCATTCTGGCAATATAATAAAGCTTGATTATTTTCAATAATTTAAATTGTTGGCGTTAGAGTGCCACCAGAGTGACTAGTGTTGCGCACACAAAGTGTTTACCAACAACTACAAATAATTACAATTTCTATCTTCGTTCACAAAAGGGCATGATCTCTAACAGATCCAGGCCGGGCTGAGCCAGGCATGGTGCCCTTACAGCGAAGTCGACGAACAGCTTCCCTGATGTGCTTTGGGTGAAGAGGACCAGTCTCTCCCATCAGCTCCATTACGTCCAAAGCCTCCTCCACAATTTCACCGACAAACACTTTGGCAATACCAGACACAGCAATGACAACATTTTGTGAGACTGAAGTGCCAGTCATTTGCTGCATAATCTACAAACAAATAAAATTGTCAAACAATTAACAAAAGGTAATCAATCAATCTCCGGTCTCTTACTCTTTTAATGGCAGCTTTTGGAAATGCTGCGCGACGATACATTTCGTAACGATTTAGTTGCTCTTCAGAAAAATTAGACACCAGTACTCTAGAGAAAGATATTTTTAAAAACACATTAAGATATACTTTTAAACTCAAACTTACTGCATTCGTTCTCGTTCTTCTTCCTGCAGTTTTTCTTTTAGTTTCTCTTGCTCTTGTTTAGAGAAAGTTTTCGGATCACGTTCAGCTAAACTTGAACCTGAGTCTTTAGATGGCCCAAAAAGACTCAGACCAAATGAAGTTTTAAACTCGAGATCCTCAGCTCGGTTTCTGCCGTCCACAAGAGTGTCATCGTCCATTGAGTCATCATCATCATCATCTAAATGATGATCATCTCCAACACTGGCTATGCTGCGTTTTCGGCCAACCGGGCCAGATGCACCGACAATTGCTTTGAGAAGTTCATCTTCGTCCATATCTTCTCTATCATCATCTGATGTTACATCCATTTTCAAGCCACTTTCTTCTGTCTTTTCAGTGTGGTCGTCCATAACTTTTTCTTTAATCTCCGCAGTGTCCGGTTCTGATGATTTTGGACGAGAAGTTTCAGGAGAATGCATCACACCGGGAAGTTTGATTGACAAAAAAGATTGTGGTGCATTTGTAGACGGTTCAATAGAGTCTGAAGGCATTGAAGGAGCAATAATTGATGTTGGAGCTGGCGATGTTGGAGTTGGCGATGTTGAAGCGGGTGAAGATTGAGGTGATGGTGAAAGAGAAAGATCATCAGCAATAGTCGATTCCATATTCCACTGACTCTCAGAAATGGTCCCCTTTTCCAAATCTGATTCAATCTTAGTTGGCTCGTCTGCCTGCATGTCATTCTCAACTGATTTCTCGCTATCACTCAAAGGGCGATCCTCGTTTTGAGCCATAGAATCACAAGTGTCGACAATACTTTTGAGAAGCTTTCGAACTTCATTTTTGTCATCATCACTTGAGTCTTCATTTTGATCGCCTAATAATTCTGAAGAATCCTCAATTGAACTTTTTGGTGAGTGTTCGGATGTTTTAGAAGCAGTATCAGGGATGACTTGCTTTGCCTCAGGGGATTGTGCCTCATCAGAAAGTTCATTTAGGACATCTCCACTCGATGGCTCCAGAAAAGTTGAAGGCACCCCTAAATCTGAAGTTGTCGAATGATGTGATGATTGCGGAATCGGAGATGAAGGAGGTGATGGTGAAAGTGAAAGATCTTCTGCAATAGTAGACCTAAACACTTCATTTTCCGAATCATTTGATTCTGTCTCAACAATGGAAGTCGATGGTGCTGCACTTTGGGGCTCCGGTGAAGACGGTGGTTCTTTACGTGTGTCCTCCATGATTCTATTTTTTAAATAATTGTAATGTTAATTCAATATTGGATCGAATTGCAATGCAAAATACTTGCTTTCAGTGAACAAGATGCTGTCACTTAGAACTTGTTTTGGTTTGAAATCTGTCTCTTTTTCAAAAAAAATCAATGCCAGTTTGGCAGACCACTCACAGAGGACGAGTTCTGCTTGTTTGTTTAGGAAATATAAAGCTGCTATTTTTAATCAAAGTGTATGTGATTACGTTCGCTCCTTATGAACCCAATCGCGTTAATGTTCATCGTCATTAGTGACTGGATTCAGCCTTTTCTGCTCCTTCAACTCAAGCACTGGTGCGTTCTCTCAGTTTAATCATCTTTTAATTGCTCGCTTGGGATACCTTCAGTATAAAGTGCTTTGGAAACAGCCAACAACCGTTGCTATTTACCTTCTTATCTGGTCGTTTAAATTCCGTAAGTTGGTCATAGTCATCAAAACTGTGTCATCGTTTTGACAATGTGCATTTAGTCCAGTGACTTTGCCGTTTATTGCCGTTTATTGAGTGAAGATGAAGAAAAACAAGTACTTTAAGACATAAAACATGCAACCACAACGCCACAAGCAAACACTTTCTCACGACAAGGAAACAACTCGGCAACTCCGACGTTTTCCTTGGTTTTATTTCCTCTTGATTGGATTTGCCAGCTGACTCCAATTATGAGGATAATTTAAATACTCAACAATTGCTATCTTCCACTTTTACTTCTGCAGTTTTGCACTCAGGTTTCACTACCTTTAATCTACTCTGAATCACTTTTATTAGTGCACCAATTTATGAATTCTTCAAAGTCAAGTGAAAAGTGCTTCAAAATACCAAATCAAAAGCCAAATGAACCAAGATCTGCTACTTGCACCAGAAAGCGGTTCATAACATCAACTGTAGTTTTTGTAATTGTGTCAATTCTTATCGGTAAGTGATGCTTTTCACAACTGTTTTCATTCTTACTTATTATCAAACCTAGTCATTTAATCAAGAAAAAATTACCTGATGTCTGTGCAATCAATTGAGTTTCTTTGTACCACAGAAGTGTTGAATCCTTTTTTTATGATTGGTCTATTAGAGACATTACTCATTTTTTTTGTCAGCTCGTAATGGTGTGCACAAGGTTATTCATTGCTTTATCTATGCAATTGTATTTCTTTTTGAACTGTCCAACTAAATTGTCAAATGGTGCCTTCAGTGTAGGGTTTCATTATTGAGGAAAGTTTTTGAATTAGCATGTGCACCACAGAAGAAGCAATAGGGCGACATTTGTTGCAAGTGTTTGAGTGTCACATAACATTAAATATACAACTGTTGAGCAAACTCGGTGAAAAGGGGATACCCAGTTACTCTGGTGTCGTTATGGTTGAGTGCCTATGGAATGCACATTTGTTGTTTTGCTCTTCTTTCCATGTTTCTTTGCCTATTTTTAATTCTAATGTTATCATCAATCTAATATTAGCATGAATTTTGTTTTAATTGTGATGCTGCTTCTTTTCAATCCAATAGTGCTCTTCTACCTTAGTCTTGGCTTGTATGGACAAGCAAAGTCGCAGGAGGCTAATTATCAATATTCCCCACAAGCATATCTTTCAAACGGCTCAGTTCCGAGATTCTACATTGTGCTTCCTGACAACATGCCTGACTCTGACCTGAATCCTACTCCAGCAGTCACTGGGAAACCAGTGTTTCGTGATGAAAACGATTTAAGGTAAGTTTCCAATTGCAGTAATTACCAATAAACTAATTGCATTTCTCTTCACAGCATCTACCTGTTGACCTACAATGTCGCTCGTCAAAGTCCGGCGGAAGATTTAACAGATCTTTTCGATTTCCAGCGCGTCGGGGCACATGACATTTACGTAGTGGCAATGGAAGAGCTCACTTTTTTGTCAATGTTAACATGGGACCCGTACCAGAGTCAGTTTGATAATATTTTCGGAGAAAGAGGCTACGTCCGTCTTGAACGTGTCCGGTTCATGATCACCAGTCTTTCTATCTATGTGCCAAAGAATAAGCTGTCAAAGTTTCACAATGTCACAGTAAGCTAACAAGGGGGAACTACGTCGTACAACCGGTACAATGTGTCATTATTTCCTTGTAGACAGACACCGTCAGCACTGACTTGGGCCTTCGAAAGGGCGGTATTGGCATTCGCCTCTACTACAACAACATTTCACTGGCTTTTGTCGGAGCTCATCTGGCTGCCCACGAAGAGCACTATCAAACAAGACTGAAAAACTACAAGGAGATTATTGATCAGGTGCACTTTAGTCACCGTCCAAAGGATGGCATTCTTGACCAAGAGTAAGTTTATCCTTTTTTCATTTTTAATTTTAACCAAGTTTTATCTCTTTTCTAGTTACGCCTTCTTCCTAGGAGACCTAAATTTTCGCATCAATGACCTCACTTCTCAGCAAGTTTACGATGCTGTTTTGATTGCTGAAAGGAAAAAGGACGCAAACAAGTGGATACCATTGCTTCAGTATGACCAGGTTTGTGCCAAGTGTAAAGTATTTTTACTAATCATTTGATCTTTTTTACTAAAGCTTCACGTGGCGCAAAAATCCAAAGCAGCATTTCACCATTTCACGGAAGCAAATATTACATTCCCTCCAACATATCGTTTTATCATATCAACTGATAACTATGACTGGGAGTAAGTAGTAACTTCTTGTATGGGTTGTATCATTTGCTTAACGATTACATTGTTTCACTTTAACAGAAAGCGAAAACCAGCTTTTACAGACCGAATTCTGTACCGCAACACTCTGTCTGACCGTGTGGCCAAGGCTGATCAAGAACGCGTTGCCCTTCGCGTTCTTCACTACGAGTCCATTCGCCAGTACTGCGGCAGTGACCATAAGCCAGTGAGAGCAATTGCTCACATCTCTGCCAGTGCCTTTGCTGAGAAGATCAAGTGGCTTCAATCTCGGGTTAAACAGCGTATTTCTAAGCGTGACAGTCCAGGGCTGAGAGCTAAAACGCATAGGGCGCCAGCCGTTCAGGGCCCGGCACATGGAGAAGGACGTTCCACTGATGGTGTTGTGGCTGATTCCCCAAGCTCCCGTAGCGCTCCTCGCTCTCGCCATTATTACCACGAAGATCCTAGTTTGAGTTTGGCACGACAAATGACCGTACAGTTTGAGCCAATTCGTGACTGGACAGTGGAGAGCAATCACACCATCTTCTTCCGGGTGATGGACAATCGCACCAACCAAACGGTGGGACCGGACTTTCCTGGACTCTTTCAGGTGCTGTCCAACTGGGACTGGATTGGTAAGTTGGTTGAAGCGTTTAGAGTATGTTTTACTTATGCTGTGTTGCCTTGTATCGACAGGTTTGTACCGAGAGGATTTCTACTCGCTGGACAATTATGTCACCTTTGCCTACCCTCGATTTGGAGAGACAGTTGAAGAGGCAGAGGATGCACTGGCCCTGTTGCACGATGAAACTGACGAAGATCAGGTTGATCATCTGCATACGGGATCGGCCAGCCAGGCATCAACTCGTCGTGGATCAGCAGCTTCGCTGCTTTCTTCTCACAGTCAGTCTACCTCTTCTGCTGCTTACTTTAGCTCTAATGAGCTCGGTGAAGGGCACCCAGCACTTCGTGGTGCCGGCACACCGGAGACGCGCAGTGGCGCTCCGTCGACAAGTGCAAGTCATGCTGACCTGGAATCAGTTGATATTGAAAGAGTTAAAAGTTTAGATTTGGGAGAATCCTCTCACTCAGCACCAAAGCCTATAGACTACGTTCCGGTAGAAGAAGCAGAAGAGGATATGGAGGAACGTAAAGAAGCAAGTCCGGTGTCTTCTGTTTCAGGATCGGGTGATTCAACTGACTCTGATCACTCCACTTCAACGTCTTCCCCAAAAAGTGCATCCCAATCTGCTTCATCTGCATCATCATCGACAACGACAACCACCACTACCACAACCTCTTCGACATCGTCAAATACTCCAAACACTGCAAGTGACCATGAGTTTTCGGCCATGTTTGACGAGCAATCATTCTTATTCTCAACTGGTCGTTATGTTTTGATATACCGGCGTAAAAATGGCGATGTAATGGGAATTTCAGAGCCTTTTGAGATTCGTGCTGAGGTAGAAGGACAGGAGCAGCAGCCACCCGGTGAAAATGTTTCCGATTAGGAAGTTTTTAAGAACTATTATTGTGAACCTCTGCCAAACACTGGTCCGAGATAGAAAATGATTTATTTTTGACTTTTTTATTTTGGACATGCCATCGTTTTTTTATCGGCAATTATTTTTTAGTAGCATCTTTAGTATTATATTTTTTTAAATTGTTTCTTACATTCTTTTATCTCTGTTTTAACTAGCTTTATTTATAACGAAATCATCTTCTGTTAATTTATACTGTTGGTAATATGTGAACTGTATTCAAAAGTGCTCAAAGATATTTATTAAAACTGCTCATTTTGGATAGCTTTCATTTGAGTGGAGTACTTTTCACAGTTGCGTTACACTTTGCAATGACATTTGGAAGTGCATTCTGGTGCGTCACACAGGTAGGCACTGGTGCTCTTCACAAAGTCATTTTCCAGTGACGTTGTCGATTACAATTTGAGAGCAGATTGTGCACTGTTATTAGAGCCTATCAATTGCCTTCTCACCGGCGAACACCTGTGTGCTTGTGCAACTCAAATGTGCTGTGCGATTGTCCTACTTGTGGATATTGTCTTCTCCTCTCATCTACCTCAATATGAATCGCCTAATTACAATCTTAGTGTTTGCATTTCAATTGGCGCTATTTGCGAATCAGACCTCCTGTGAATCCTCCCAGTTTCCGAAGCATTCTAATCTGAGGTGAGCAATCTGATAACTGCCAAACACTGCTCTGTCTGACGGCCACTATCCGACGATACTGATTGACCCGTTGCACCTTCAGCATCTACCTGGTCACGTACAATGTCGCCGGGGAGAGTCCATCGGAGGATCTATTAGGTCTCTTTGACCACTTTGAGGGTGATTTGCATGACATCTACGTGGTTGCCCTACAAGAGCTGCCCAATTCAATTATACTGACCGGCGTCGATGCGCACATGAAGCAACTGGAGGAGGTGTTCGCTAAAAGGGGCTACTCTCAGTTGGAAAAGAAACGAATGACGGTCACTGCTTTGTACGTCTATGTCAGACAAAATGAGCTTGCAGAGTTTAGTAACTTAGCCGTAAGTTGAATTGTCATAGAGAGGCAAGTATGTTCCCTTTACATTGACCATGTCCACATGTCACAGAAAGTTTCGATGGCCTTTGATTGGAAAAAGCTAAAAGGGGCTCTGGCTATAAGAATGACTTACAGAGGCATCTCCCTGGCCTTTGTCGGTGCTCATTTTTACGCATTTGATGAGAAATATGAAGATCGAGTTGACAACTACAACCAAATTATACAAAAGATTCATTTTAATGAAAACCACAATGATGGCATTTTAAATCAAGAGTATGATTATTTTGAATGAAAGGGCCAATCCGTACTGACACCTTGGCTTCTCACAGTTTGACGTTTTTTCTGGGCGACTTGAACTTTCGAATCAACGACCTGTCTGATGCGGACGTTCTGCTTCACATTCAAAATCAGAATTGGGGTCAACTACTAAAACATGATCAGGTAATTTCAATGCTCAAAATAAAACTTTATGAATTTGTTTCGTATTGCTTCCTTTAGCTGAACCTGGCAAAGTCACAGGGCAGAGCATTTCAAGGGTTCACCGAGTCTTCGATCAACTTTTCCCCAACGTACAAGTTTACCCCTAACAGTGACAGTTACAACCTGTTAGTAAAACTCTTTGTTGTACCTAGTATCTTGATGCTATCACTTTTTACCATTTCAGGAAGCGAAAACCAGCCTACACAGACCGAATATTGTACCGTGGAGGCGACAGCCTTCAAGTGATCAGCTACACATCTCTGATGGGCTTTAGAGGCAGTGACCATAAGCCCGTTAGGGCTGTGGTCAAAGTCAACGCATAAAATAATTTGCTGTAAAAATATATTTTTAAAGATCGAAATCAGTTTTAATTTATTTACATTGTCATTAAATATTGCAAAAAAATCACTCGTACTTGGCGTCTTCTTTCTTCTTCTCCAGTGCAGTGAGATCAGCATTGAGAACAGCGAGCTTTGCAGCTAGGTCCTGCAACAAAGTGAAATAATGATTAAAAGGAACTATAAAACAACTAGTGCTTACCTGAAACCAAACCAGAGTTCGAGCGATGGTCGTTTGGCATTCGTCCTCCAAGTCTAAAGCATCCTTTTTAGTTCGAATCAGATCGAGCTTTAGTGAATCCAGAGCTGGCTGCAAAGCAGGCACTTCTCGAATTGGCGCCTTATCCAAAGATGGCTCTAGAGCAGCTATCTTTTCGAGTGTATAGGCATCGTCTTTGATTTCATCTTCAAACGCGAGGACTTCCTCAAACTTGCTCATGTGAGAATTATCACTAGCAGTCTCTAGTGAGTGAAAAGAGCTCTCCTCGGCGCCGATCCACTTTTCCAGCTTCCGTAGCTCAGCGTAGCAGTGATTGAACTTCTCTTTGCCGAATGTAAGTGATTTCAACTTCTGATCCAACTCTGAGATGGTTCGCACTAGCGTTACTTGCGAGTCTTTTGCTTGTGGAACCAGCTCATCGGAACCGAAAAGAGCTTCTTCTATCTCTCGCAGACGCAAGTTCAGCAGCTCTATTGATTGAGCATGTGTTGAAGACTAGTACATCGAGTGTTGATTGTTAGAAATGTTTCAAACACACAACAAGAAAAGCACTTACCATCTTGACTGAAAAAAGACGATTATCTGAAACGATGAGGCGTTGGTGAAATAAAAACAACCGGTGTGGGACAACAACTTACACGACAGATGTGAAGACTGTGCTCAAGAGATGTCGCAGCGGTCGAATATCATGACAAATTGAAAACAAAAAACACCGAAGATCTTGCCTCGAGGTACACTGGTTTGCTGAGCCTCTTGTACGCCCCCGCCGAGCCATGGAGAGCATTGGTCTGGAGTGCAAAGAGCTGAAAAAGCAGTACGATGACTGCTTCAACGCCTGGTTCTCTGAACGATACCTTAAAGGTGACTACCACTCGCCCCTGTGCAATCGCCTCTTTGAAACCTATCAGGGCTGCGTTAAAGAGGCAATAAAACGACAGAAGATTGACCTGTGGCAAATTGAAAAGGACTCACTGCCTCATGGAGCTCAAGAGGATAAGGCGCCCGATGATAAAGGCAAAGGTGAGAAGAAGCCGTGACATGCCTCTACCTGTTTTTCGCCAGTAACTTATGCCCAGTCCGCAACCAGTGGACATTGCCAACCATTTTTTACTTATCCTGTTAACTAGCTTTCCTCAAACTGTATATGAATTCATTGTTTTTTACCTTAGCAAAATAAAATCGAGCTTTTCTAAAAGTGATTCTGTGGTTCTCATCAGTAAGGCAGCAAACCCTTTCCCCAACTCAAGTTTTAGTTTCTCTTTGGAAAATATTTGCCATAAACGACTGTCATGCTTTAGTAAGACCGAACACGTTTGTTAAAGTCAATTTCTCAAGTTTCAAACCCAATATAAAGTCAGTTCCGTGCGTAAATGTCAAGAAAACCCCCATTTGATAAGCATTTCATTTCATTGCATTTTGTAAACAATGCTTGGGAGCGTGGCCTGTTTAGCTTTTGTGAACTTGTCTTCTTGAAGACTTGTCTGTGGAACTCAAAACACGCTTTATTTCAGGAGATTGTGGACTTTCTTTGGATGTGTCCTGAAACTCTGCCGCAATGACATCCAGAACCAAACAAGCCAAAGCCATGATGATTACCAAAAAGATAGAAATGTGCGAACTGGCACTGAAGGAGCTCTACAATCAGCGACTACAGCTTGAGTCTGAATACCAGAAATGCGCTGATGCGGCGAGTGAGCAAGATGTTACAGCACAGAACTCGGATCCTTTGGACATCAAATACGAGGACAATTATCCATACATTGGAGCTGACACCAGTCTGGCTGAGTTTCCCTCTGATGCAACAACCGCAACACCTCAACAGAACACTATTGATATTCTACTCGGAATCATGAATTACGAAGAGCAGTCATTCCCTGCCTCCACCTCTCATGCCAATATCTCCTCTGCCCAGCCAACAGACTTGAATCTCAGTGTTCCCAACATTAAACGAGAATTTGAAGAGGAGCACGACGAAGAGGAAGTTGATTTTGAGGACATTGACAAGAAAGGTTTTTAGCATTCAATTCAAACACTGTTTGGCTAGGCCACCTTTGGATCAGCTCACTGTGACATTTTCCATTTCCCATAATAATTAAAAACAAAAAAGACCTGTGCAGCAGCAGGATCTGTGATATATAGCATCTCTAATTTTATCAGCCCGAAGAATGGCGCCCTACTCGACCGTTTCACCGTTTTGTCAATAAGTACCAAATTCTGCCTAACTGCCAGTGCCAGAGATTCTAAAGAATCTCCTTCTTCTTCTTCTTCCCTTCCTCCTCCTCCTCTTTCTCTTTCCCTTCTTTCCTCCTCCTCTGTTTTCGAAGCTGACTCGGCGAGAATCCTGACAACTCGAGTACACTGCCAGACACTTGAGCATGGCAAATTGAGACGCGCTCCCATTCATACCAGCAGCATTCAGCAGCAACAGCCAAGCAGCCAAGCAGCCAGCTCAAAGCTGAGCGTTGGCGTGTTTACTGGATCGATCGATAAAGGGCGATTGAAGGTGAAAGAGGAGAGGAGAGAGAGAGAGAGAGAGAGAGAGAGAGAGAGAGAGAGAGAGAGNTTACTGGATCGATCGATAAAGGGCGATTGAAGGTGAAAGAGGAGAGAGAGAGAGAGCGCGGGAGAAGGGGTGCTGCGTTTACGTGCGCGCCTACGTGGAGCTTATGTAAGCATGTTTTCGACGACGACGGCGGCGGCGGTGGTGGTGGTGGCAGTTCCGCTGCTGTAATTTTAAACCGTCGCTGGCGCTTGGANACATTCAGCAGCAACAGCCAAGCAGCCAGCTCAAAGCTGAGCGTTGGCGTGTTTACTGGATCGATCGATAAAGGGCGATTGAAGGTGAAAGAGGAGAGAGAGAGAGAGCGCGGGAGAAGGGGTGCTGCGTTTACGTGCGCGCCTACGTGGAGCTTATGTAAGCATGTTTTCG